GCCACACCCTATCTCAAGGGAAAAAATCTGGATGTAGTAGTATACAGCTGTCATCCCGGCAACAGAAGATTAAAATGGGAGCATCACCGTCCAAGCTGACTTGGGCAAAATGCAAGACCTTATCTCCAAAGTAATCAGGGCAAAAAGGGCAGGAGGCATGGCTCAAGCGGTTGAGCACCTGCCTAGCAAGCATGATTGAATTCAATTCCCAGTACTGACAAAATAAAAACTAAAAAACTAAAGTTGGAATTACACTTACTAACTCACTATATTCCTTGTGGCTTTACAATAAATGAAATTACTTTTCTAAACTTTATCACTTACTGTACTATGCAGTCACTAGGGACATTCATAAATAACCTAAGGGAGAAGGACACAAAACCAAGGAAATTTAAGACAATAAATAAAGCACACTTTAAACTTATGGTTCAAGTGAGCATGGTGTTAATACTGTAAGAACACTAAACTTTTTAATTATGATTTCTAAAATCAAACCACATTCTGTATTTTATATCATTCATAAAAAAAGAAAATGGAAACAAACTTATCGACTATACAATCTCATTTATATAAAAATACATTTTAAAGATGTATACATGTATGCTTTTCCACACAAATGTCAAGGGTAGAATGGGAATGGGAACAGGGGCTTAGGGAGCTCTCACCTCTCTCCATGTACCCTTCCACACAGTTTGAGATTCTTACTATTCTTCAGAAAAGTTACCACTAAGATTTTTTTTTTTCATCAGGGACAACACTGATGGTGTATCTCATTTATGTAAATAAATTTTAAAGAACCACATAAGGTGCATTGTAAAAAGCACAGGGAGAAAGGTCAAAGCATGTTCAAGCTGTTAACATGGATTACTTAAGGAGGGGAATGGGTCAGGAAGGAAGAAGCAGAAGACTCATTTTTATCCTGTGTATTTGAGCACTGCAGATAGATTTTAGTATCACTGCTGTAATTAGTAAATAACATAATATGCATCTTAAACACCAAATATTCAAGTTTACATTTAGATAACCTGCTAAATTCATACAGTCGGGAGACTCTCACTAAAGAGAACGTTAGCAGAGGAAATGTGGTCAGCTTTCCTCACTCTGCTAAGTATCTAATATCCTCCCAAAAATTTAAGGTTAGGTTCCTTTTTTTGTGTGTGGTACTAGGGTTTGAACTCAGGGCCTCATGTTTTGTAGACAGGTACTGTAACATTTAAGCCATTCCACCAAGCCCTTTTTGTGCTTGGTGTCTTGAGATAGGGTCTCCAGAACTACTTGCCTGGGGCAGGCTTTTAACTACTTTCCTTCTGATCTTGAGGCCTCCCAAGGAGCTAGAATTAAAGATGTGAGCTACTGGTACCTGGAGAGGGTTAGGTTTCTTAGGCAAAATCCAACCATCAGAACTTTTTGGAAAAAAAATTTGAGGGACCTATTGAAACAATTTTCCAGCTGGGCATGGTGGCATTTAACCTACAATTCTAGTACTTAGGAGGATCACGAGTTTGAGGCCAGAATGGGCTACATAGCAAATCCTAGGCCAACCTGGGCTAGATCCTAGCTCAAAAAAAACAAAAACTCAATAATTTTCCATTTGCACAATGTTTTCAGAACAGATAACTTCACTTGCATACCATGACTAATTTACAACAGTCCTTCCTCATTCTCACCCATTCACTTTCAAATTTATTCTCTAGCAAACAACTTCACCATCTTGAATCAAAGATTAAGCAATATTTACAAGTATGTACAGAAAATATTTCTTGTTACTAATTTGGGGGAGAAAAATCACTCTTTCTGCTGAGGCCTATAAAATCCATCTTTTCTGCCTTATAGGCCCAACATCGTATTTTATATTTAGGTTATCCTATAATCTAAATACAACTGAATATAAATGCACATTCAGAAATTTCCAAATGAATAACAAAATGTTACATTTATGATAGTTAATATGTTGACTGTGAAAAGCAACATGGTTGAGTGAAAAATTAAAAGTAAAAAGAGTTCTGAAATGGGACTCTGGTGAACTGGGTTCTGGATCAGTCTTACTGTTAATGGCACTGGTGAAGCATGTGATCAGAAGACTTCCAAATTCTTTGTGTCTCTCAGGGAAGAATCCATGGCAAGACACATGGATGTAAACAGAGTTTATTAAATATTAAGAAAGGAAAATACAAAGGGGAGCATGGTGGGGCCCAGGTGGAAGCTGGAAGCCAAGAGTGTGTATTTCTCTCTTCATGTGCTTTTAAAAACTACAATAACCTATGGGAAGGGAGGAACCAGGTGATTCCCATCCAATAACCAATGAGTGGGGAGGGGCATGGGCCGTTCCTGAGCCAAAGCAAGGTTAATCTAAGATGTAATATTTTTCTGTGTCCCGAACTTTTCCTAATTTTAGCCTGCCTCACTGTAACTAACTTGTTCTGAGACCCACCTTTGTACCTCAGTTTCCCCCATCTGTAGAATGAAAGGGAGGAGGCTTAGCCATTGTTTTTTTTTTCAGGATCTCTACTATCTGAGAGAACTGACAGATCTCTATAACCTAATACCAAAAATGTATATTTGCACCAAGAAATTTGTTCCCAATTTCCTTCTGATATCCTCTAGACTCACTAAGATCTCTGCAATAAAAGATTTCTTACAGTTGTCCTATGCACTAAAATTCTATGGTGTTCATAAAAGGATTATATGACTTACCTACTGGAAAAAAATATACCAAAATAATTATGAAATTCAACACTAACTACTTTAAATCTCAAAATATATGAACAGTTAAATTACAGCAAATTTCTATTTAAAAAAAAAAAGATCTGTTCAGACCCACATGTGGGTAAATGCTAAAAACCACTTTTCGAAATATATATATAAACATATATATATTCTAATACTTAATAATTGAAGGAGCCTTAACAATTCTAACTACTGCCAAATGAAATAATTTACCTATTTTCTGGTCTCACTACCCTATAGGTCAAGAACCACAGACTGACAGCAGACAAACCTGAGCTTGAGCCCACACTCTACCACTTTGTATGTAAATTTGGGTAAATTACTTAGCACCTACATGTTTGAGCTCCTCAGTCTATTTTAAAAAAAGATAGAAAGAAAATAATACAGATACTTTCACAGACCTACTGGGGGTTAAACAAGTGATATAGGTGAAGTGCTAGGCACAGTGCCTCAAACATAGTATATACTCAATATTAACTAATTATTAATTAATTAATAATTATTCATAAATTGGAATACAACTTTCATACTTAGGAACTAATGTAGTAAACGCTACACTTCTGAAGTTTCTAGAAAATAACTTCCTATTTCTAATAACATAACATTTTCAATATGTATACAATGTACCTGAGAGGTAGCTGGGAAGAATGGAAAGAGACTCAGTTTTGGAGCCAGACAGATCTGAGTTCAAGACCTAAATCAGCCACTTCATAATCCTGTAACTGGCTAAAGTCTCTCTCAACCTGATAAAGCTGATCCATGAACTAAGCAAAGTATGTACACACCAATCCCCAGATCTAGCATTCAATACAGTACTTAGTATCTTTTTCTCATTTATAGTTGATTTAAAAAAATTTTCCTCTTCTCAGGGAAGAGGAAAGGTACTGCTAAACACAAACACATAGGACTAAGTTATATCAGACCAATAATGAACACTACTCTTACCAATTTAAATACTAAAGCACTGGTGTTTGATGCTCATACTCCTTCCAGAATATAATGAAAACAGGGTCCCTCACTCCGGCGAATTTCACGGTTATCAGGAAGTACTGTATGTCAGGGATTTTAAGAAAACTTGTGTTCAGGTGAATTAGCCAGTTTTTTTTTCTGGACTCGCAAGAGTCTGGAAACGTTATTTAGTCGGTTTTGTGGCAAAATAATACATTAATTTGACTCACAATGAAGCAATTAAATTCTGCTTTTTATTGGCCTTCTACTTCTAAAGAAGCTAATATATCTGATGTGTGCGATAACAAAACTTGATAAATGGAACCAAAAATCTGTGCTAGAGTTAGTTCAAATACTTTTAAATACGATGCTTTAACACAGCCTGGACAACAAACCGAAAGGAAGGGGGAAAAAAGCCCAACAAGGCCACAAATCTGGCTGCATTCAAGTCTCAACCAACTCATAAAATGAGCCTCTTTCAAAAGAGCACACACAGGAAGTATCATAAATTAACAAAAAACAACGCCGAGCCAGCAAAAACATAAAACACAGTTTTACTGAGTAACTTGTAAGTGTAGCTTATCCTGACTTAGGCTCCCTGCGTGGAACACTTTAATCCTCTGACTTGGCCTTCTCCAACTCTCTTAGGAAATAACCCCAAACTTATTTCTAATAGTTTAAGAACGAAGTTAAAGAGTACCCTAGACTCTGTTCTCCAAAACGTGCCAACCCACAGGGAGCTTGGTCCTGGACCCAGTTTTGTCCCAGTGACCTTGGTTGCAAAGACTGGCCTCTCCCCCTCCGTCCCTCCCTCCTGCCGCCCCTTCCACGTGCCGCTGGCTGCCGTTACCCCAGAGGTTCCCGCATGTCAGTCCTGCAGGGCATTAGGAGACCGAGTGCACAGAGGAAACCGGGCTGCTAACACGTGCCCGGGGTGTGTTGTGCTATGCCAACCCTTCCTTTCCCTTCCCTTCCCTTCCCTCCGGCAGCGCGCCGACAGCCCACCAATTCCCCGACCTCCCGCGCTCCCCTCGCCTCGCTCCGCGACCCCGCGGCACAGGAAGCCCTTCATCCTCCACCACTACATCCCAACGCCCGGCCGAGAACCAGGGCAGCAAGGGAAGAGGACAGCCCTAGGACGAAGGGGACCCAGGCAAGAGGAAATTAGGATGGAGAATCCTGCGCCACGCCACCGACACCTCCTCACTTCCAGAGCTCCCGGGAGGCCCTTCCTGGCCGGCAGGCCAGAGGGCTGTGAAACCTGACGCGGCAGGGTTCAGGGGAGGCCCGAGGATCGTGGGGTCCAAGGGGTGCAGCGTCCTCACCATCAAAACTTTGGCCGCGTTCTCCAGCTGAGCGATCACTTCTGGGGGCCCCAGCGCCGCCGCCATCATGGTCTCTCTTCAATGACGCGCCATGCGCTGCATTCTGGGAGCGAGCGCCGCAGCCGGCCAATCGCCGCCGCGACCCCGGAGCCTCACGCGGTCCCGGGGCCGTCGCAGCCGCAGCCGACGCCGGCGTCGCGACCTCAGCGGGTCTGGTGGGGCTGCGGATTCCTCCGGTGCTCGAGAGAGAACGAGCTTGAGCCCAGCCGCCGCGCTGGGAAGAGGACGGCTACACTCAGCACCGGGCGAGGTCGCCCGGCAGTTGGCCCTGACGGCGCCCGCGGCGGCTCCGGGCTCTGCGCATGCGCGCTTCACGCACCACCCCCCCCTCCGCCACGGCGCGCGACTCTTGCCTTCTGCTGCCCGGCTTCCCCTAGCCGCTCCGCGCTTCTCCAGGCTGCGGTGTCCTGAGGGATGTCTCAGCTTGGAGCCGCTCTCCCCGCCTCCCACCTCCTCTACACAGTTCTAATTCCCACCTCCTGCCTCTGGTTCCGGGATACGCTTCGTTTTTCTTAATGGAGCTCCTTTGCCAGAAAAATCCGCAAGCGTGTGTGGACAGCGGGGGAGCGCGGCGCGACCTCGCGGGAAAACCCACCCTCCTGCGGGAGGGGAGAGACAAGGGTAGGAGCGCCCGGCTTCTCGGAGGCACGTACAGTGCAGGCTGTGATGGACGGTGCTTCACGGTGGCTGATGCCCGGGCTGCGCCACGCCACGAGCTGCTCCTGACGCCCACTCACTGTTGGGAAGGTCGTGGGGTCATCTGGGTGAAGGCTCGTTTTGTTTTGAACTGACAGCTCCTTTCCTGTAACTTCTACTTCTGCCTTTGACTGCTTTCTGGAACTACGCAGTCAAATTCACTGAAAATTTCTTCGGTTGAAATCTTCCCTTTTTTTCCCCTTAGTTAAAAGTAAGGTTCTATATGAGGTATTATTTTGTGTCACTGCAACAGAATTTAATTACATTATTTATTCCACTGAGAAACATGTTATTTCTTGTATTTGACATCTTACTACTTGGAGTCGAGAAAGTGAATTGAGATTTTTTTTAATTGCTTGAGAAACACAGTAAGTAGCTTTGATTTCATTACCAAATCGTAAAGTGACCCAAAATACAGTTAGTCGTTTTCCTTTAAGAAGCCTGTGAACCTAAGTGGTTATCATAGTGCCTTCCATATACATAGGCACTCAATAAACTCGGGACCTGCAAAAAAGATTACATTACCAAGCGTAATTAACCAAAGATCAGTTATATATCTGCAAAAGTGTAGTAAATCGTTTCTAACATTGTTCGAGACTTAATAATACTTCACATTGGGCCTTGGATTTCAAAGCATTTGTTTTGTGCAATTACATAGGAACTTTACAACAAAACATGCTTTGAGAAAGAGGAGGAAGTACCCTCTCTTAGGACCTCTTCCCAACTCTGGGAGCTCTACTTTTCACTACTTTTCTACTTCAATGAACTCTCCTGCTTTACTCCAACACCTCCCTCCCCCCCCAAAAAAAAAAGAGAAGAAAGAGCTAGGGCTGGTGGCTCATGCCTATAATCTTAGCTACTTGGGAGGCAGAGATCAGGAGGATCAAGGTTCAAAGCAAGCCCAGGCAAATAGTTTAAGAGACCCTATCTCCAAAATACCAATACAAAAAATGACTGGTGGAGTGGCTCAAGGTGTAGGCCCTGAGTTCAAACCCCAGTGCCACCAAAAAACAGGAAGGAAATGTATTTTCTCAAATGTGACAGTGAGTATGCTTCCTTTCAAATTTTTGAGGCTTTATAAAGTGGGTTACAAACATCTTACATAACTGGAAACCAGTCATTTCAAGGCTAAATTAAAGTTGTATTATCTCAAGTGTTGGAAAACACTTGAAAATTTACCTGCTTATTAATCTCCAGTGCCTGTCATTCCTTAATTTATTATTATTCAGTAGTAGCACTCAGAGTTGTGAGAATAGTATTCTAGCCTAGCCGTATGTTCTTCATTTCCTAAAATAGAAGAAATGGAGAAATCTGGTGAAATTCAAATAACTTGTCTGTAGACAAATTTCTTACAGTCTAGAAAAGGGTAGATGCCTGGTCAAAATTAAGAGCATTTCAATAATACATCATCTCTACTTTGAGAGTATACTTACACTGATAGGTGTCATGGGCTCCAAGACCATTCCTACTTTATTCCTCACCAGTACTCTTCCCCTCACACCCATGAGAAAAACTAACTGTCGATGAGTAGGTGAAAGAATTGCACTCTGTGCACAGCCGGAGTGAACGTAGAACGACGCAGCTGCTGTGGCGATTCCTTAAGGTCAAACATAAATCTCCATGTGATCCAGCAATCCCACTCCTGGTATACAGCCAAAAGACTTGAAAGTTCTGAAAAGATACTTGCCTGCCCATGTTCACAGCAGCCAAAAAGTGAAAACAATCCAAATATCCACTGAGGGATGGATGCATAAAATATAGTATGTACACATACACGATGGAATATTATTCAGCTTTAAAAAGAAAGAAACTGACTCATGCTACAATATGAGTGAACCTTGAGGACATCTGAGGTGAAATAAACTAGTCACAAAAAGACAAATACTGAATGATTCTGAAACAGATGGTAGGGACCCACCCTCCTGGTGCACTAAGGCAGGAGTTTAGGTACTGTTGGAGCACTATTAACACTGTTAATAATAGCCCTTTATTGTAAACACCCCTTTATGCTTATTTTTCTTTTTAATATGGTGAGATATTGGGGGCTGGGGCAATTTGGCTCCCTGATTGACAGCTGTTAGATCCTTCCCTGGGGCCCTGACTGCCTTGAATGAAGGACAATCAGCCAAGTAGCAGCCAGACTGCCCTCATGCACCAGCTGCTCTGACCATGCCACAGACACCTTAAGGAAGCTATATGACAACCATAGCTTGCACAATTCCAGCTCCTGAAGGCACTGTCCCAGCCATGACTGTTAAAACAGCTTGTACTCCTCAGAGAACTCTAAATGACCCTTCAGCTATCTCTAGCCAGGCCAGAGAGGAAGCACTTCTTGTGCCCCACAGAAGGCCTGTGACTGGTGCAAATACAGTCCTTCATTAGCTTAAGACTGTTGTGACTGGTGACAGGAACTACACCATAATTGGTGCCAACCGAGTTCTTCATTTGCATGAGGGGACTGCCTTGATTGGTGCAGATACCCTTGTCACACACCCCCTTTCTGGTTATATAAACAGTCCGTTGGGCTCACTTTGTGAGTCAGCTAGGAGACACCCTCCTGTGCTACAACTGGTGTTGCAACATTAGGCCCAATAAGAACTTCTCTCATCTTTCTTGCCTACTTTTGATTTTCATCATTAGTAGAGTGACTGAGCTGATAAAAAAAGCAAGTTGGGGAGGGCTTGGGAGACTGGAGCCATCCCTGCAGCAAATCAGGGTATGGAATTGGTGTAGCAGCATTTGCAGCAAGCACTATTAAGCTCTGCAGTCCTGGCCTGAGGCCCAAAAGAGCTATAACATTTTCCACCTTAGGTTCACTCACTGACCCCCACCAGAGGCTGATGCCATCAGGAGTTTGGGGTCCAGGTCCCCGAGGATTGGAGGCAGTAGAGCTTGCCACCATCAGTACTGTCAGTGCTGTTGGGGGAGGGTGCCATCTGGTGCTACCTGCTGTCATCTGCTGCTGCTGCTTACTAAGGATTGCAAAAACCCACCAAGGGCCTAGAACAACTAGAGAAGTGTGCCCTTTCCCACCCCCCCACCTCCTGCAGTACTGGGGTTTGAGCTCAGAGCCTACACCTTGAGACACACTCCACAGATCTTTATTGTGATGGGTTTTTTTCAAGATAGGGTGCCTTGAATTATTTGCCAGGGGGCTGGCTTTGAACCATGATCCTCCTGATCTCTGCCTCCTGAGTAGATAGGAGTACAGGTGTAAGCCACCCATGATTTCTATCCAGACAGAGCAGAAAGACCCCAGCCAGCTGGTTTGTAACAATTCCATGTAATATAAAGTATATAAAATAATTGGACTCTGAAACAAGAAGTAAAATGGTGGTTTTCAGGACTGGGGAGAGGAGGAATCGGGAGTTCAATAGATACAGAATTTCCATTTTATAAGCTAAGTTTCAGAGATTTGTTGCACAACAATTTGAATTAACACTACTAAACTGTAACACTTTAAAATGGTTCAAATGGTAAATGGGTGTTCTTTATCACAACTAAAACTTTTATTAAAGAGCAATAAAAGCATCTGATTTTTCATGTGAAATTTGACTGCTTTCCTTAAAAAATGGGAAAAATCTATTTTCATAATTAAACTAAGATACTTTCATTCCCTTTCTCTCGCATGAACAGTGGTGTTTCCTAGATGCTACAGGATTTGTGAAATCTCAATAAATTAAATGTAGGGATGTGAATGGTAGTTCTCGTTCTTTTGCATTTATATGGTATATGAAAACTTATCAACTCTCCTGTTAAGTAAAATGCTTCTAACAAACAACCAAATACAATATTCTACCTTCCTTATAACACTCAGATACCTAACTAACATGTTAGGTACCTAAAATCTTTACATACCTAAAATGATTTTAGACATTATTGATATTTTTGGTGGTACTGGGTTTGAACTAAAGGGCTTTACCATTGCTAGGCAGCTATTTAAGTCACACATTCAGCCCTAATTAAAACATTTGAGGCCTGGTGCCCGTAATTTAGGCTTGTGATCCTAGCTACTCAGGAGGCAAAGATAAGGAGGATCGCAGTTTGAGGCCAGCCCTGGCAAAAAGCAACATCCTATCTCAAAAATACCCAACACAAAAAAAGGGCTGCTGGCTGGTAGAATGGCTCAAGTGTTTAACGCCTGCCTAGCAAGCATGAAACCCTGAGTTCAAACCCCAGTAAGCAAAGTCCTTGTGTACTAAGTAAATGAAAAAAGGGGCACTTGGCTGGTGCTGATGGCTCATACCTGTAATCCTGACTACTGAGGAGACAGAGATCAGGAGTATCCTGGTTCAAAGCCATCCTGGACAAATAGTTCATGAGACCCGATCTCGAAAAAAAAACATCACAAAAAAGGGCTGGTGGAGTGGCTTAAGTGAGATCCTGAGTTCAAACCCAAGTGCCTTAAAAAAAAAAAAGTTAGTATTTGAGGTTGGGGTTTGGTGTGTGGTTCAAGAGCATAACAATATTGCATGAGAAGGCCATCCAGAGCAGGGGCTGCCAGCCCTACAATACAGAATGACACTGCCACATAGTGCTGCTGGAATTGAGAGAGCCTCCATGGTAAGACTAA